TACACCTTGTTGTCTGTATAGGCATGGGAATGCCATGCTTACAGATCTGGTTAAGAATATTTAAGGGAGATTGGTTCCTGATACTGTCAAGACTTGCAGAATTCTTGGCATTCTGAGGATGTTCAATTGCCTTTGGATTCCCCTAGATCAGCTCAATTGGAAGACAATTGCATTAGACCTGGAGCTATTTTGCCCCAATCCCATGCTTCAGATACAGCTTCCAGTTTTGTTGTAAATCCTGTGTTCTTTCTGATCTCCTGGTCTCTTGAGCCAGTTGCTGCTGTGGTTCCCAACCATTGAGACTCCATGTAACAGCATTCAGATCGGTGATATCTTTACACTGATCTAAAAAGCAACTTCAAAGATCTGCCTCTATATACATGGATGATTTTGTACTGATTCTCCACTTCTGCAAGTTTCTACAGTTTCTGTCTTAACTTCACAGAGCTAATAGCAGTACACTGCTTCCTGCTAAGTGGACTTTGGTGAAATACATTAATTAAAGTCAGTTGAACTTCAGTAGACTTTAGTAGGAGACAGATGAATAAGAGAGTGTTTAGGCTCTGAATTTTTCTTCCAGATCAGTTAACACCTCTTATTGATTTGAATGGACCACGAAACCAAGTATATCAGGAAATCTTCTGAGCCCTTTTGAGAATTACCTGGTTATTTTTGGAAGATTACCCAAGGTAGAGTCCTGCTCCAGAAGGAGCAGCAGGACTTTAAACTTAGATGAAAATTTATGAGGTATTAATTATTGTCAATTATTCATTGTTTTATATAATTATAATAATTATTCATTATTTTAATAAAAATAATTATTTTTCTGCAACCTTTTGTAATAATAATAATAATAATATTATTATGTGTGGTTGAATTTGTCCTTTTTCTTTGTCTGTTTCACTTAGTGTTTTGAAATACACCCGAAAAGTGTATTTTCATGTTAAAACTAGCTATGTATAAACCCAGGAAACTGTCAACAGAATTATCTTCAGTCTGCTAGAAGAATAGGTCACAACATGCTTGTGGGGGGTGGTGGCTGTCAGAGCCTGTACATGGTGACAGGTGTTGGTTGTTCATCTGCTAATTTCTCATTAGAAACAATGTGGTAGGTTGATCACTTGCAGTTTGGTAATTGGAGGCACTGTCATGGTATCTGTTAGTAAAATGTATTACTATGTTTACTGAAGTAGTTTTAAAATACTAGATGTGTTTTTGGTTTTTAAAATTCTGTCATAAATGAAAATATTTGTTTTCTCATTACCAGTAAATATCTATTATCCATGATCTGTAATTAGGTTCACAGTTTAACGTAAAGGATGAGTGGTGCTCACTGGACTGCATCATTGGCCTTACTGTGGTAAAATGACCAATTTTGCCTCACCAGCTGTGACTTTGGAGGCAGTGACTTTGGAGGCAGTTTGAATGATGGGAACACAAAAAGCTCTACAGATTAAAATATTTCCAGCATACAACTGTGGGTGTATCAGTCAGAATTCAGCAGCAGTTCTTGCTTGATAAGCTTGCTAATGTCTTCTTGTCCTTAGAAGGAGCACTGTTCCCCTGTATGGGTGTCTTGTACAGTCTCAACCCTGCATTCTTTGATGAAGCAAATCTCCCAGTGAAAAACAGCATTAGTATGACCATGGAAAGCGCTGAATACAAGGATAGAAAGACTACTCACAAGGGCAATGCATTTGCCTAAGGAAACAGAGCATGTAGTTCTGTGACTAATTATGAATTATAGAAAGAACTAAAGGAAAAAAGACAAAGTTGGGAAATAAATGGTTGTTTGCTCATCTTGTATCAAAAGAGGACTTTTTCAAAAGACAAACCCAATTACAGCTGCTTTCCCCAATAGTATCCCTATCTACTTCTCAAAATTTCCATCAAATATAATAGAAAATACAACAATATTGTGCTTCAGCTTCTTCTATGTGGCAAAGGTGATTGAAAGATTGCATGCAGAGTGTTCTAATTTTATATGAAAAAGTAGAGTAAGTTATGTCTGCAAGTTAACTAGAAGTACCTTTTTAGTTTTTCTATGGATGTGTCTTGAGTACTGCAGAAATAGCCAGGTGTTGGTGAAATGCAGTAATGTTGGCTGGTCCAAGTACAAAGCCACAGAACTCCATATAATGGAATTAACATGGTCTGGAATCCAGAATGGCCTGAGTTTGATTCTTGAGCTGAAGAGGTCATGCAAGTTTCTTTGGGGTTTAGCATCTGATGATGCATATGAGTTGTTTCACCTTTTTAATGAGATATGAATCAGGATATGAATTACAGGTATCTTAGTGGATTGTTAATTTCAAACTGCAAGAGACCAGGTGTGCTTATGAAAGAAGTCTAGATACTTTGCGTATCTGCCTTTTCTTACCCTAGAACTTAGAGTCTTTACTGCAGAAGTTCCCCTCCAGAGGTGCCATGGAAGTAGTGGTGTTTTCTGCTATCACCATGAAAGATTTTCTAGTGTCTTAGGCAAAGTGAAGGTAGGAAGCTGATGCTTTTATGCCTCTTTCTGAAAATCATTTATTCGCATGATACCAGAAAAGGATGAACTGATTTTTTACTTTGTAGTCAAGGTAATGTTTTTCACCAAGGGGAACCAATGTAATTTACAGATGATAATGAATTAAGGTTTTTGTGGGTTTTTTTTGTTTATCAGCTCAATTTTGCAGACGGGGTACCCGAAACAATTTATAGTGGTCTTGGTATAGAGTTGAATGGTTTTGCTACAAATCACTAAGAATAGCATAGTCTCTTCTATTAACAAATACAAAAATATCAAGCTTAAGATAATATCTGTAGAGTTACTACTTCCTTGGTTGTGTTGATTTGGGTCAGCCAAAGGGAGTAGCGATCAGTGAGAGCTCAGTAGTTTAGTTTTTTTTTAGACAAAACACGTTCTGTATGGTTAAAAAGATGGCTTTCTCCATTGATCATTAACCTGCAAATGACAAACTGTATTTCCTGAATGACATGAACTCTGCTGATTTGTTCTTCCATGATGAAATCCCAGCTGTTTCCATCATAACATCTGCAACTAATGTAAAGTATCTCAGTGTCTTTTTCCAGAAAGTTCCTTGTGAGTTTGTTAACAAAGCCTGCAAACCATATGCTTTTTGTCAGCACCATTGTTACCATCTGGAAAACCTTTTGGAACATTGTGAACAGAAAAGACAAAATCGCATATTTCATTAATAGTTAATTGAGCTTTTGAAAAAGCATATTATTTTGCAATGAAATTCAAAACTTCACTCTAAATATTCAGTAGACAGTGCTAGTATAATTCTAAAAGGAAATACACTGTACTTCACTGTATAATAGAAGCTGGTTGTTCATCAGAATCCAGACTGTCAGAGTACCATTCCTGCAATATAAAGACTGAAACATACACTAACTCCAGCTGGCTGTTTTTTAAGGCTGTTTGCAGTGGTCACATATGTGGGATGTCTGGACTAATAACTATTTTTATTATAGACAAAGATATTTCTAAAGCTTACCTTTCTTTTATACAGGATTTTTTTCCTAGAAGTATACCTAGAAATAGTCTTTTTTATGCTTGTAAAAAAATCAGATTCTGTGATGTGCATGAACACATGAGCCTGGTAAAGGGGAGACAACCATGAAATGTTATTGTCATTGAAAATAACCAGTCATATAATTTTTTCCATAATAATACATTTGCTACGTAATACACATCTAACCATTCTGTATTTCTTCATTTCATGGAGAAAAGTGTATTACCTTAGTCTTCTGAAGCAAAAGAGAAAGGTAATAAGACAGTAATTTCAGCAAACTCATCATCCTGCAGTGTAATTTGATGGTTGCATTTGTTTTGAAACAATGCAGATGAACAAAAATGTCCATCTATTACAAAGCCACATTACAATTTTTTTCAAACTAATTTGTTTATATTTTTTAGAGTAATATGCATGAAAAACTCATGACTGTTGAGCAAATCAGGACAAATTTATGTTGCTTATGCTGTTTTCATTTTTGTTTCGTGAGATGTTTCCAAGAAGTGTTATTCTGTGGAATGTGGCCACACTATAAATTATGTGATTTGTGATAAAATCCAGATTATTATTGTGTGTTTCTATTATAGAATAAGTTTTTCCCTGCCACTTCAGTAATATGTGACCCTCAAAAGCAGCAAAAGATAAATCATTAAGGTTTCATAAAACACCTCTGTAAGTTTAATCTTAAAAAGTTAAATTAGACTTCAGTACATAGCAAATTTTAAGCTGCCCGGGAAACCTCTGGAGGATAACATAGTATAATATATGATTTTATGAACAATTCCTGCTGTAAGTTGGTCCTCCTAAATTTGAGCCTCTTAAAATTTGGTTCACTTAATATGACCTATAGGTCTTCCTTTGTATGTTTATGTAATTAAATTGTAGCAGTAAAAATCAGGAAGGAAAGTAATTTTATATCAACTACCATGAAACTTATCAGAGTTGAAAAATTATTTTTGTGACGGCCATCTTACTATTTAATATAAAAATACTGTCTGCTAGATGTTAGTTTAAAAACAGCATCTATTTTTAACAGTTATAGAGTTTACAGCATCATCCAAACTGAATATAGATTGAAACCCAGACTGAAAATCCTACAAATTGTTCTAATCCATACTTTAAAAGTTTTGATCAGAATAAGTGATCTTGGGCAAAGTGTTAAAGTAGTTTGATGGCTAGGTTAATATTGCATTTTCAGTCAGGCTAAAACTGAAAGGGAAATGTTGGGAAGTACACTGTGAACTATACTGACTACCCGCTTCAAAGGTATTGACATAAAAGGAGAGGGACATGAAGAGAGCTGTCAGTGCATAAGCAACAGCAAGAAAAAACCAACAGGCATCCTAAGGTGTCACATAGACAATTTGAATATTACTTTCATGATTATAATTTTCTACCTGATTAAACCAGGAGCACCTTTGATGACTATCTGTGAGATAATGTTAACATTTTAAAACTCAAATCTTTGTTTTTCAGAAACCCTCCACCTACTTTGCTACATCCTGAGAAATGGTGCAGAGGATTCAATCATTTCATTTCACAGTGAGTTTTTTTCCCTTTTAAAAACAGCTTATTCAGCAAGACTTATATGTGCCAATCTGAAAACAGAATTTTCTTACAGTTACTGCTTTTTCAGGTTTTTGACTACAGTTTTCTTTTCACAGATTCTCATTCACTTTTTGAAAGCTTTACAGCCCAGCATGCTCTTCTTACATAATTTTCTTCATTTGAGTGTCTCTTGATTTTGACAGACCTGGAACAGGTTTATAAAATACACCTTATTTCCTTGATGGTTTCCATTGAAATTTTGTGTTGAGGAGAGAAAAAAAATAGTGAAAATGACTGCTGGTCAATTTAAAATAAGAGTTTGAAAGATGAGAATGAAAATAATTGCCTTTTTTACACTTTAGTAAGGTTTAGTAAGGTTCAGTAGGTTATATATATATTGGTACTATATATATTTTTATATGTAACTATGCATATACATAAAATATAAGTATTTTATATATTTAATTGAGCACCAGTAGTAACAAGAGCACAGTGAATGCAGCTGTCACCAAACTAAAATATGCTTTTGCTTTACTTTTTTTACTTTTACAGTGACACTAGGAAATTACAGATTAGTAGTTGCTATCATTGTATTCAAAAATCTTACTGCAACTTTTACGAGTGATTTTTAGGATTCTTCAATATTTCATTGGGAATGATTACAGCCCAAATAGTGTAACGTGGGAAATACTATTATAACACCATTTTTCAGTACTGAATTTTCAAGATAGGTTTGTAAATATGCACATCTGCATTTTGAATCTGTTCTGTTCCTTGGTGTATTCAATTACTCATGGAGTACAATATCCCTACCTGATAATTCTTTCAATTAGTTGTGTAGTAATGTCTTTCCATTTTAGAAGAAGTTAAAAATAAAAATGCTAATGCGAATATTATTAGTAATATGTGAAAAATAAGTTATTTACTATGCTGATCTTTAACCAAACAGGAAGGTGAGATACAGTATAATGTTTGACCTGATCATTATTATTATTACTGTTATTGCTATTGCTATTATTGCTGCAATGTAATTCAGAATCTCTTCAATCTAGGCAGTAGAAGTACATTCCTCTAGACCATATTGATCCAAGTTCTGGTTCTCCATAATGCATGTCCTCATTTACACAGCAGAGTACATTGGAATCTATGGCAAGTTCAGAGTTTAAGTACAAGGGTCACCAAGTGGTGGATGAATTTAATTCTGTTATAAAAAACCATTGGTTGCATTGTATTTAAAGGCTGTAGTCTGTATTCAGGGAGACCAGTACTAGTGGATTATATTCCACTTGTGCTTTAGAAAGTCACTGCACCTAGTAAATAAGATTACATTCCTGTCTCAGGAATACTGTACATTAACCTTCAGCATTGTTATATAAGTTTATAAGTAATATATAAGTTATATATTGTTATATAAGTTTTTCTTTCTTGGTCTCTTTCCTTTTATAAGTCCCTGCTGAGCTTGAGAACAATACAAAAACTCAGTTAAACATTTCTTAGCATTTGTTCAGTCCTTTAGTTCAGCATGCAGTGTTCATAAAACAAGTCAGATGCTAACACTTTATGGTTAAACTTGATTTTATTCTTGTCCTTTGAGTTTTTTATAAATTGAAATTGTATCATTTTAATCATATGAATTATTATTAACTTTTGCTTAATTACTTCCTCATCATAAACTTTTGCAGGTTCTCAAATCTTGCTTTTCATTTTAACAATGATGTCCACAATGAAGTAAGGAAATATGCTCATACACAGTTCTCTTAACATGGAGAAATGGAACAGTTTTAATAAATACCCTATGTTATAGCTGCCTTTAAGAGAATACTGAAATTGAATTCTCTCTGACATTGTTGTATTCCTGGGAATGTGTTAGCAAATCTGTAACAATAAGAGGTTACAGGATGTTTTTATGGAGGCTTAGATTTACATTAGTGGATTTTGTAGAAAAATTTAGGTAATGAAACATCAGATCATACAACTGCAAACCTTTTAGCCATTACTGATAATTGGCTCATTTATATGCATTAGTTATGCATTTGTTGATGCCTGCCTTGTGACAGCCTAGTTATGATAAATTAAAAGCAGTGATTGTATAAATTCCATACTGCCTTTTATCCTTGTGTCCAGACCTTGCCTCATGTTTCTGTCACCCTTGTGATGAGTGGTTAGCTATTGAATAATTTCATTATCTACCTCCTTCTTGATGCTAACATCATTTGCATAACAAGCTTATCTATTCAAGTTGCAGGCCAGACCTGTGTACTGACCAAAACTGAGCATGTAGCTTTGGCTAAGCTTTTGATTTCAGTTTGGTTTATGCAATAATTTTGTTTATGCCAAGATTGCCATACCCGGTCACTCCAGCTTTTTTTTCATCCCATTTTGCTGTCCCTTGAAATGCCATTGTCTTGAGAGGCATTTTTTAATAAGTGGTCTCAACAAATTGCAGTGATTTACAATATGCCTGAGCTGGAAGTTTCATTGTTTGTAAATCTTTAAGCTGGTAAAATAGTTATCATATATTTTTCAGGAATTAAGTCTATATTTTTAACTATGATACCATTGACTCAAGAGATGAAGATTTTGCAGCAGCATTTTAGTCAAACACAGTATTTCTAAAATCTGAACAGAGAGTCAAGATGGTTTCTGGCTTGGTGAATCTATATATCTATTCCCAGCTCTGTTGACTTTGAGGTGAAGATTGTAATGTTTTGTTCTCATAAGAATTTTTACAATTAACATAGTGATTCTGAGTTAGATATTTTGTTGTTTAAAAATGCAGAGAAGACACAATTTCAGCTCTCTTCTCTGGCAACACCCTAATTTTGTATTTGGTATATACTAAGATACAGGCAGCACTTACATACTTTATTGACATAAGGTCAGTAAAGTTCTGTGTGTGTGTTTATCTGTACTACTGTGATTGTGTCTGAAAAATTTGGCTCTCCATTTGTGATGTTAAAAATAATTACCTTTATTTTATATTATATATTTATTATATATATTATATAATATATAATATATAAATAATATACATTATATATAATATATTATATGTGTTATATATTTATTTTATATTTTTACCATTTCTGTAAAACCATGTAAATTATCACAGCAGTGAAAAATAATTTTCTTGGCACTTTAAAGCTTGACTGATCTCAAAGGATAAATAGGAGAGTTAATATGTTCTCAAAGCAGAAGAATGCAATAACTTTTATTTACATTACATCACAAAATGTTAATTTTAATTAAAATTGGTAGTGGTATCTCCAGAGACAGACATTCTCCTTTTAAATTTATTTAACCAATGATTAGCTATTATGGTTCTTTGAATTAATTAGTCATTCTTGAGCTGGAGGGAATTAAAGAATTTAGAAATTCAGGAAGTAATAAAGTCAAAATGTGAACGTAAGGATTTATGGTCACATTTATTATCAGTCTGTAACTTTTAGCAATGACGTTGCAAGTACAGTACAAAGATAATTTTTTTGTCCTGATAAACTCACATTTTGTACTCAACTTAAACATGGCTTAGCAAGCTAAATTTCATATTGATGTGTCCATATTCAGAGCCATTCAGTTAGAATAGATCATCTAGATCATATAGGTTTTAAGTGGTCCATTTATATTTAACTTCTCTGCAGATAAAGTTTTTTCACAATCTAAGCACTTGTTTAGTGACATTCTGTTCATGTTACATAAAGAACATTTTACTGTTTCTTTCACTGAGAACATCATATGCATTTGACATAACTTATTAATTTCAGTGTCTGGAAAGGCAGAGGTTTGCAAATGTCAGAAAGATACAGATTGCGATGTGTAAGGTTATCACCAAATCTACATTTTTGCATTTCATTCACTGATGTAGACTCTCAGAATCTATCTGCAGATGAACTTGAAATACTAAATTATAGTACCTGACGAAAGATCTCTGCCACTTTTGAATATTGCATGAAACATATGTATTTATACAAAGGAGTGGACATATGTAATGAATACAGTTATCTTCAACTTTCTAATGAGTAGTTGTAAAAATCCTGCCTCAAATCAGCTGCAAGCTATAGTGTCAAAGTGGGATAGGTACCTAAGGGAGGATATCTGGTATACATGCAAAACATACTGTTTCTAATAAAAAGCTTCAGTTGTGCAAAGTTCTGAAGGGTTTTTGTTTTTCTGGGCCTTCAAGGACAGACCAAAGAAACAGAGTAAACCAGTTCCTGGTGAAAGGCTATTCATCAATTTCATCATACAATAAATAAATGTATTTGGTGGTTTTGAGATGCTTCCTAGAGTTGTTCTGATTGTATTTCTGTTCTCACTGGTAACGTTTCAAACATTTCAGTGTGAGCACCTGTCAGACCCACGCTAAAGAGCTGCAAGAGATGCCACTCTATAGAGTTTCTGTCATTTGTTTTCTAATGCATGTATATGAGCTAAAATAAATTGTAATGCTTACTCAGCCCAAATAAGGCTGGGAAACCTGGTGTAAGTTTTGGAGATTTAGAAGAGGTAAAGGTATTTATTACACCTAATTTTACAATTTCAGTGTGATAGAATCTTTGTTATGTTTCAGATGTGTGCTCTAAATTGTACTATATGGTGCTTGATATTGAACATTAAACTGAAGGAAGATTTATTAAGAAAATAGGTGCTGGTGACACTTCAGTGTTTGAGCATTTGTCTCACTCTTAGGGAGGATTAGTAATTTACAGCATTTGCCACCAAAAGGCAGATCGATAATGTTATAAATGTGTTCTGACCATCAGAATTTATACCAAGCATGTGGTGATTGAGTTCTTTGTCATAAATTCAGTCTTTCATCCTGATATCTGATTGTAGCAGAATGAACAGTAAAATCCTTATTATTTATAATGAGATGCTGTGCAAGACAGGAGACCTATTTAACCTACACGCATAACCCTAGTGCCTAGCATTTACTTTTTGCAAAGGGACAGCTATATATAGTCCTGAAGATAAGGTTATTTATATCCTGTGAG